ATTGTTTGTTGGGCATGTAGATGACTAGTGGTGTCATGCATATTCATTTTTCACTTGCTCATTAATTGTTATTTCCTTTATTTTTAAAGATTTAGTGATCCACCATTCTAGTGTGTGGTGTTTGGGATTAGTGTTTCATTTTCACTGGTTAATAACAAAAATTCAGCCACTCAAAGAAAATAAAGAAATTATTAAGATATACTTGGTAGAAAATGCATCTCTACCTATAATTTTGTAGTATAAAAATATGTAGAGGTATAATTAGCGGAGTAATTTAAGCACCTCTCCGTTCTTCTGCGCGTTACGATGTTTGATCAATTTTACTTCCAATTTAATTTATTTAACTGTATGTGTAGAATATAAAAAACAAAGATGAGCCCCATCCTCAAGGGTTTCCTCAGATCCGGTGGAACGGACACTGAAAAAAGATAAATTAGATTTTTATTGTAGATTGATGGCAAGAGTGAAGCTTATACATGTAGTTTTCAAGGACATTATATTTAGCACAGATATTTTCCAACGGAATTGACACTTTGACAGGAACATAATTTAAACTATTTCCAATTCAAATTTGTGAAGAGAACATCACATTAGTATGTAGATTATTTATTTAAAGACAAATTGGTCAACTTCACGGAATTTATGTGCACATATTTCTAACTTTTTGAATAGAGAGCATCATCCATCTTTTGGAACACGGGGGAAGCGCCGTAGAACGGAAGGGAAACGATTTTTTTTCTTCAAAGTAAGAAAGAATCCTTTTTGTAAGCAAATTATTCTTACTTTTAGAAAATATTACTCATAGCTATCACCACGAAAACTCCCATATATAGGCTTGTGATAGGGATAGGGTGACATATACTAAAGTCTTCATTCTTTGATAAAGAAAAAAAAATGATGAGCTCCACTCCTCATTCTCGATGGTCCCATGACCTAGCCGAACGATTATTGAGAGGAGGTAAATTATACTTTAATCGTAAATTGGTTTCAAAGAGTGACAAAAATGGATGAGCCTCATTCCTTGATAAAAGGATATGCTAGATGCACACTACTTATATACTAGCGTGTTAGAAACACAAAGACAATAATTATTTATATTGTTTCTGTATATACAGACAATTATTGCGCGTGTGTTTTGTAACACATTGGTGTGCACAAATTAGTATACATATAGCATTTTTACTATCACTATGAAAGTACGAATATAGTTATCGTTTTAAGAAAATTCTTCCTTCCGATCCTAAAAAATTTCCTATTTTAGTATTTTAGTCAAATATTGAAACACTTTAACGAAAAATATGAAAAGAATATATATTTAATTATAAAATAAATTCAATATAATTAGGTTCATCTTATGATATGGTTTTGATGTATCAGATTTTATATCATTTAAATATTTAGATTACCTTTAATTTATGGTCAAAGAATGTCACTATTTGACCAAAATATTACTCCCTCCGTCCCGTTTTAAATCGTCTGTTTTGACTTTTGAGCATATTTAAGGAAAATAAAAAATAGAGTTGATTTTCTGAAGTTACCATTACTTTTTAGGAAGAGTGATGATGAATGAGAAGATAAGGTGGAGAAGAATGACTTATTTTACGGGTAGTTTAGATATTTTACTCATAAAAGTTTACGATAACAAGTAACAAACAACTTATTTTGAGACAGAGAAAAAAGGCAAACAGACAATTTAAAACGGGACAGATGGAGTACTTGTATTTAACAACTCCATCTCTTTAAAAAACAACAATAATTCTCTCCATTCTAATTTAAATTGTCTGTTTTAATTTACGATATTTGTCTGAAGTTAGGTTATTTTTGATATAATTTAGTAGAGAATTTGAGCACAATTAAAAAACAAAATTAACATATTAAAAATTTACACCAAAGGTTATACAAACAAAAGATAGTATAAATATATTATTTTGTCAAATAAGTAACGAAAATAGAAAAATAAAGTGAATAAGGTTTGATCTTGTAAATAATAATCAAACAATTTAGTTAACTAATTTATTTGTATTTTATTTCATACTAACGGAGGAACTATCTATACAACAACTATTTCTATATGGACTCTTTTGTAACTATTAAAAAGTACAAAAACTATTTACCAATTTATGAAAAATCACAATGACTACTTACGCAGTCAGCTCTAATAGTAAACACGTATAAGTTTACTTTTAGACATTCTTATTTAAGATGATATTTTCAATGAGATTATAAAGTTGAATGTCATGTCCAACCATTTTCTAGCTCTTCTTATGTCTACTTCCATCCTTCATAATGTCATCTACCACAAAATTGTCGCAACTTCTTATCGAGACATTTGTACTTCTCTTCAGCGGATTTGCAATCAATATTCGCTTAGTCCTCTCCAACTTAATTATCCTTCCCAAAACTATTATCGTTTTTTTTGAGATGATAATTACTTAAGTTGAAGATTAGTTAATTTTAGTTTATGCACTGTATTCTTCAAATAACATTAATATTTTGAATAAATTTCTAATGTTAAGATTAATTTTAAAGTGGTAAAGATATATCCAAAACGGTCCGGTTCCAGTGACATTCCTAGTTAAACCCCACTGTAAACAGATCCTAATTTTATTTTATTAAAAACCACTCCCTATATTTCCCCCCAAATTTTGTTTTCCCGCCCAAATTAAACTTGCCTGACAATTCATCACTCAACCACTACCGTACCCACTCCCGCGGCTCAGCTCTCTCTCTCTCTCTCTCTCTCACAGCACGATCTCTCAGACTCTCTCTCTCTCTCTACTTTCTCTCTCTATACCATAACCCTAACAATGCCCGATTTCGCCATTTCTCTCGAACCACCACCGCCACAGCCACCTGCTCCGCCGCCCTCACCCTCAATTTCTGCCGATTCCAAGTCGGCAGCTAAGTTGAACAACCCAGACTGTAATCCGAAGCCCCAGAAACCAAAGCCGAACCTGCAAATCTGTAACTCGGATGCTTTATTTTATTGCAAGTCCGACTCGACGATTGAGAATTCGGAGTCCGACTTGAGTTCGGAATGGGAGCTCCGGACTGCTCTTAGAGAAGACGAGTCTAAATGCGAGAGTAATGGAGAAACCAGGGTTACGGTGCCATTGAGAGGGGGCGAGAGGCTTGCCATTGCTAACAAGAGTTTGGACGACTTTGTTAAGGATTGGGTTATGCGGAGAGTCAAATCTGGTGTTCCCGAGTCACGCTGTTTACTACCTTTCCTAGTTAAAGCTCCGAAACTGGTACACATTCCTTTTATCGTCTTCTTAAGTTTTCAATCTTTTCTTTTGAAGGAGTTAAGTTTTCAATCTGGTTGTGAATTGCCTTTAATTGGAGTTTACATTGTGTTGTGCTGTGCATATACATATTTGTTGTTAATGTTTTGTTGCTCATTCCAGGTTGAGTGCGTTTTGTGCTTCAACTTAATGTTCCCCGGAGAAGACATATCGTGCTCTGTTCGAGGATGTCAGGTAGTTGTGCACAAGCAATGTGCCAAAGAAAGGCTACAATTCTCTTCAGCTAAACAATTCAAGTGTCCACAGCATGTAAGTATCATTGAGCTTCGTAAAATCTAAATGTTGGTTCCAGTTACTTTCTTGTTGGAACTGGGAGCAATTGCTGATTGTAGATTCTCTTATTATCTTACCTCTCCATTTCATCTAAATTTTGAGCTTTCCCTTCAAAGGAAGCACAACTTTCTGTTAATAAAAGCAACCAATAAACCTAAATGTCACTTCTTTTCCTTGAACAGGTATGCTATGTTTGTAACAAGATGAATCATATATGGCGATGCATCAAGTGCCTTATGGCTTCACATGAAAAATGTGCAGCATTTCCTGAGTATGTTGTCCATCTTACTAGTCATCCAGGACAGGCCATCTGCTGGAAACATCATGCAGATTGGCGACTGCAGAAAGAGGTCCTTTTCTTCCATTGTTCATCTGTGTAGTTATTGGTCTTACAATGAAATTTGGACCTTCCTAGCATCAGTATTGACCGTGTGGCAGTTGGGGCAGTTGGGTCAATGAACTTGTGGGGATCAGGATTTCAGGATAAGATTTATTGGCATGCAATATTAGGATCAAAAGTCCACCTATATTTGTGGAAAGCATATGAAAAAAGTTAATAAACTATATAGAAATTGAACAGACTGCAAAGGCTGAACTCTTTTCATTTTGAGATAAAAAGGCTGTGTCTCCGACATATCTTCATGTTACTTTTCATGGATTAGTATGAATCAGTTTTGAATATATAGACAAACTTCCAAAGACGACTTCCCCTTAACTATACTCATAAATAGCAAAACTGTTATGAATGGAACGTAGCTGTATAGTTGTATTATGTTTACTGTTAGTTTATCACTTAATTGATATTTTGATTGATTAGGCTTGCTCACAGGACTGACATATCTTGTTTGATGAGCAGCATGAAGATCCAATCAATAAAATTGAGGTTAGGCAATTCATTTCTATGCTCAACAAATGACCATTGTTGTATTTGTGTATAGAGTTTTTCTTCCACTAAACCTTCCAATCAAAACAATTGAAAGTGGAAAGTTCAGTGGTGAGAAGTGGTCTCTCTTTTGCATGATATATTGCCAAACTTTTTAAAATTTTTCTTTGGTTTTATGCCTGAGGTATTGATGTTCACACACATTGCTAGCTAACACTCATAATATTTATGTCAGGAAATATTTAGTTACTTGCCTCTACCATACACAGAGGAGGAGTTTAAGATCAACTTAAACTGGAAGGAAACAGATGAATGCAAATTGGAGCCACCTCTTTATGAGTCAATCAAGCGAAGTATCCTATGCATTTCTGAATCAGCTTTTCAAACTTTACTTTCCTTATGAATTGAAGTATATTCTTACATGCTCAAAATGAACAAAACGCCTGCTATTAGCTCTCTTTTCCCTTTGTGTTGTGTCCAGTTCTCTCCCTGCTCTGTTTCGAACAATGTGACAGCTTATATTGGGGTTTGAGTTTCAGATACTTTCTTACTTTTCAATTTTCTAAGGCCCTCTATGTTTTTTTATAATGTGCATTAAATTAGCCAACATGGATATGAGGTTGCAAGTTTATTTCATGCCATGAGAAGTTGTAGAATAGGTATTCATGATAAAATAGTTCCTAAAACACATGTCAACTCATGAGTAGTGGAACCATGAAACTTACCTTGATTGCCCTTGACTGATGTAGATGTGTACCTCATCAAGAAAAAGCTTGACGATTTTGGTGTTGATAATGGATGCACAAATTGCAGCTCTACAAAGTGCTTAGAGAGTTGTATCTGCAGGTATTGTAACTTCTTCAATGAATTTCCTCCCGTCCAGATATAAAAATCCATAGTGAGTCTTCTATCTGTTAGGATTCCTAATCTGCTATCTGAGTTCTTAAAGTAGCTCATTCATTTTCACCCTTACTAGGCGCCCTCTTGTCATCTTCTGTGATGATGCATAACTGCAGAAGAAGGCAATTGGAGTTTCTAGTCTAGTTGTTTGTCCTCTGTTCAGTCCTATTGCATATTTTGTTAGAAACTTTCTCTTCACATCCTGTACTACATTTAACCATCTAATATGTGAATGCGTTTTCCATCCAATGCTTTGCCTGCCAGCTACTGCTGCTTAATAAGATATTTATTTTCTTTGACAACTTGTCTAGTGCCTTCTTCAAATTTCAATTTCTAACTTTCATCGTTGATCTCATTTACAAGATTTAACACAGCGAATTTTCCCATTCAACTGTATATCGTAATTGGGAAAATGCTTATCACACTGAAGTTAATAATTCTATTGAGACCAAAGGATCTCAGCATGTGAAGTTGTAAACTTCTAATGCTTCTGGCATAACCCAATAGGTGAAGTAAGTCATGTTTGGATGTGAAGTTGTAATGCTTTTGGCTTTTAGGGTTCAGTCCATAAGCTGCTCAAAGGCTTGTCACTGCTCGGGCAAGTGCTCAAATAGGCCGTTTCGAGAAGAGAAAAAGATAAAACTAGTCAAGGTGATATGTCTATCCATATCAAACAATTTTAGTTCCTTGATATATATTTAGTATACAACTTCTTTCCTTAAATTGTTTAGATGTACCCAAGTGTTTATCTTTGAAGAATTAGTGATTATATATCTGTATATTATCATTCCTATATTTTAACTCTGCATTGCAATCAGACCAAACTCTGTGGTTGGGGTGTTGAAGCAGCTGAAGCCATCAAGAAAGAGGATTTCATTATAGAGTATATTGGAGAAGGTGAATTTCTTATTAGTGGGATTTCTAGTTCCCTTGTTCCCATTCTTCACACTATTTTCTATTTTATGAAATTTGTTTGATTTTGTTGTCTTATATTTGACCAAACTCTTCAAAATTTGAATGCAGATTACACATAACCGTTCATAACCCTTTTCTGTCTGTTAAAATAACTAGTATATATAATTGGATTTTCTTTCATTTTGTTACGTAAAGTGGCCCGTACATGGTCACCTTTATTGGCATTCTATTCTCACATTATTGCCCCTGCCCTCTTAAGTAGGTAATTCGGTATCGTTTTACCATACTGGAAGGAATTAACCATTTGGAGATTGCATGACATTATTTTATGTTTACTCATGTGTTGAGTGTTTCTTAAATTGCTATAAATCATTTATTGCCATTTTAAACAATAGTCCATGTAGTTTTTGAAACTATACCGCATCCAATCGCAGCAATAATAAATAAATAAATAAAGATTTGTTGAACAAGACTGGTCACTATAAGCTACAAACCATTTGTTTTGGTAAGTGCCATATCATCCTGAACTTTGCTGGATCTCCAGCTAGAAACATTTGCTGCTTTAATTTATTTATTCATTTTGGTAACCACTTTTTGGCAAGTTGATAGTGCAACCATGATTAATATATAACCTGAACTTTATTTAGCATTCTAGCCACAGTTGTACATAACTTGAGCATTATTATTGATCTCCAAACTAATATCTCTTACTTTTGACATGCGAAGAATAAAGTATCTAATGTTATTCTTTGCTTCCTGCTTCAGTTATTGATGATGCCACGTGTGAAAAGAGGCTTTGGCAAATGAAATACAGGAGAGAGAAAAACTTTTACATGTGTGAAATACGAAAAGATTTCACCATTGATGCAACTTTTAAGGGGAACTTTTCACGCTTTCTGAATCACAGCTGTGAACCCAACTGCAAACTAGAGAAATGGTTAGTTGGTTCTCCTTGAATCAAACTGTTATTAAAATTTTCTTTTGTAAACACAACAAAATGGCACATACTTAGTGCTACAAGGACTCTACTATTAATAACTCTTAAATATTCGAAGGAAAAAAACTAATTTTTTATGCATTGTTTAATGAGGCTGTTTTTCAAATGAAGATTTCACATTTGGCCAGCAAATCTTGAACTTGTTCTGTTACTCAATCAAATTCCTTTAGCAACAACATTTATGTCCCATATATGCTGTAATGACAGGGACCATGAGATTTGTTTTATTGAAATATGTGTGACATCTCTTGACACTGATAAAACAGCTGCTCATATATTTTTTTTCTTCACTGAAGGCAAGTTGAACGCGAGACTCGTGTTGGTGTATTTGCTAATCGGGACATTGAAGTGGGTGAGCCATTGACTTATGATTACAGGTGTGCAATCTATTTGTTGCTTCCTTTGTCTAATATTTTTTGTTTTCATTTTATTTTGGCACACTGATAAAGAAAATGAAGTTATTTGGTTGTGGTTTATTTAGAAAAGAGATAAAACTACATCAACAACATTCCTTGCCTTCCAAGGAATCAATAAGAAAAACAGAAAATTTCATTATCCAAAACAAGACAAGATAAGTATTTCTATATTTCTGTCTAAATTTTCTTAATAAGAGATATAAGCAGTCATTGTAGGAATAACTGGTCAAGTGGTCAGTATAGATTCCATATTGTGATCTTGACCCTTTAGTGCCCAAGTCAATATTACTCTTGTTCTCAAAGAGTTTGATTTAGAAAATATAGAGTGAAGCATATATTCCATCCGTCCGAAGAGAAGTGCTATTGTGGTCGTAATGCAACACATCTATATCTCATATTTCCCAATTTACAGATTTGTACAATTCGGGCCCGAAGAGAAGTGCTATTGTGGAGCTCCTAATTGTCAGGGTTTTCTAGGCTCCAAAAAGAAGACAAATAGCAGGCTCAACTTCTGCTGGGGTTCTAAGCGGAAAAGAACCACTACTTCTTGTGTGGCTACGGTTCATGTGAATCTGCACTGAGAGCCATTTGTGTGTGCGTGTATAGATAATTCTCTGGTTTCGTATTTTGGTTTCTTGACCAAGCAAAATGGAGGATAAGTAAAGGGAAAATGAGATGAAAACCATCTTTCTTTTCAAGTGCTGTATCATGGTGCATTTTTCCACCCTTTTTAGAAGAAACACAGAAAAAAAAAGAAGAGGGACACTGGACATTGCAGTTTTGTCTTTGAAAGTTTAGTAAGGCTTCATCCTAAAAGGGTGTTTGGAGTTGTGTTTGAGAACAACATTTGAGCTTATATTTCACCAAAATACAATTTTCATTGTTTGGCAATTTGCTTTAACTTATGCTCCATAGGTTATAGTTTTAGACGTGCGGATTGAACTCTAGTAGTGTTTTTCCAACAAAGTCAAACAACGAATTTTCTTTAGAAACAGAGTATTTATTGGTAAATGTCTTGCCTTTTTTGTTCTCACATTTCACACGAACACACATACCCGTTGAATAAAACAATGTGAGAGAATGATGACAAAAGTAGAAATAACAATATTAGTGTCTAAAATATACGGAGTAATCCATTTTTTAGTGAGATTTCAAATAGTTTATTGCACCGTCCAAAAAAGGAGCTCTTGTTCATTTTTTATAAGACCAAATCTTGATAATATATGTGTAGAAACACTATGATTCTTTGGACCTTAGAACAACATGACTCGAGAATGACCTAGACATATACTACGTATGAATCAACGATACTCTGTTTATGAATTTGATAGCTTCTACCACCTAATCCTCTCCTAAACCCCCTACAGTCAGTGGACGTTGCGTGGTTGGCAAGGCAAGGGTGCCCGAGTTCAATTTTTGCAACTGCGTTGGGAGGTAACTATGTTAAGCATATGACATTTGCAAGTACCAGATGGATGCTTCATTCTTTGTCACCAATCTACGATTAAAACAGAATTTACTTCTAACTAGTGACTATCCGGCCGGGTCTGAGGAGGCCTTCGAGGATGGGGGTTATCCTTTTTCCCCTAAACCCCCAACCTCAGTCCCCCCCTCTTAGCCTCCCTTCTACTTGTCAGGAGCAAGAATGGCTGAAGTGAGGGGTTTAAGATAGATATTATAAGAAAAAAAAATCAATTTTATGAACAGAGTATCGTGAGTGTCTCAAAAGGTCTTGTCATTTTCAGGTTATTTTTTTTGAAGTTTAAGACCTTGCTGGCGTGGAAATGTGCAATTATAGTATTATAAGGTCATACGTGTTCCAATGCCATGTTCTCAAGACAAGTGAAAATCTTGAAAACCAAACAGGACCTTATCTTCTCTCTATATACTGTATAAATATTTCCAAATTGATTTCTTAAAAAATCAGTTTCGTAGCAAACCATGAATGTCTGCCGTGTGGCTATAAATTATTGCAAGTGTGAGGCTACAAGCAAAATGGCGGTGGCGGAAGAGACGGCGGCGACTGCGGCGGCACAAGAAACAGGCTCGCGGTGGCGGTGACGGTGACGTCACTCTTCGGGGACGGTGATGTTGGCGGGGACGGCTCAATATTTACATGTTTTTATGTCATGTATTAATATACGGAGTATCTGTCTTTTTCTCCATGAAAGGTTTATTTGCAGGTTGGCTTCTTCCTTCTTTATTTTGATCTTTTTTATTTTTTATTTCTATTAATTAAATAACTATTGTTGCATTTTGAAATTATTGGTTGATTTTTAATATTTCACTCAATTTGGGAAAAACAACAGTTGAACTGTAGACTATGAGAAATGGCAACTGAAGTTTTTTTTATTTGAATTGGTTTTGGAGTATAAATAATTTCTTTTGTCTTCAAAATGAAGTTAATAAATATTATTTGAACTTCATAAAATTTGAAAAAAAATTGTTGAAAAATGTTTACTTATGGAGTACTTAATATAATAAAAGAAATCACCCACTATTAACTCATTAATTGTTCGTTCTCATAAAACAAATTCCGAGTGACTGGTTTCGGTCTTGTTCGGAAACAATGTTCTTAATTAGTATTTTGAATAACTTACTAACTGTGCAAATTAACTTTGAAAACATTAAAAATTAAACTTTGCAATTAACTAACTTTTTCAAAATGCTCAACCCAAATGCTGAATTATTTATTTTTCTTAAATATTGGGCTTTCATTTTGGTACAAAATGGGTGTCTATTCTAATTTCCATTTTTGGGGGGGTAGGGGGTGGATTATTTAGATGACATTTTTGAACTCTAGTGAGGTTTTTTGTAGTCACTCTTTTGCTGATTATCAGTTTACATAGCTTGTGGAAATTTGCAGTAGCCTTGCCCATTACTCCAACCCATATTGTCACACTTAAAATAGACATATAAACTGGGGTTTTCTCTATGTTTATAAGATGGGGTTTATAAACAGTTTTTTAATTATAAATCAGCTGATGACATATTTCTATGTATTTAAAAGTTAAAAAAGATAAATAGGTCTTAGCTACTTATTTTTAAATCAGTTTTTTTGTCTTCGTTTTGATCAAGTTATTTACAAAAGTGTCTCCCACTATTTATGATAGGGGTGAGCAAGGACCGAACCAATCCCGATATTTCTCGAAAAAACCGAGAATACCGAACCGATAAACTACCGAAAAGAAACCGAACCGTACCGAACCGAAGGGTCGGTCCGGTATTTGGGAATGGTGCGAGGTTACTTCCCATACCGAAATTCCCGAACCGAACATATATACTAATATATTATAAAATAATAATCTTTTTATATTTCTTCATTAAACAAAAAATTTATATATGACAAGTTAGTTTATTTTCATTATGTTTAAGTTGCACTTTAATAAGATTTTTTTTATTTTTTGTAGATGAGTATAAGAATATTAACAAATATTTGAAATAATACTTTGTTATCGCTCGTTCTCTTTAGTTTGTGAAATATAAACTAACTTTCATAAGCCTTTCTTGCATTTTATTTTTTCATTTTTAATTTTTTTTATCTTTCTTTGGTTAAATGTACATTCGATTTTTCAAAAATAAAAAGTTTTGTTACATTTTATGATGTAAACTAGGTATGTATATATTCATCCCGATTCGTACCGAAACCGATACCGAACCATCCCGAACCATACTGAACCGATGCTTCGAGATCGGGATTGGTACAACGTAAAATCTCATACCGAACTGAAATATTTGGTACGGTATCGGTACAAGCTAAATACCGTACCATACCGTACCACGCTCACCCCTAATTTATGAATATTTCCAAGTGACTTGTCAATTATTTAGGTCATTTAACTTTCATGAATAAATATTTGACTTATAAGTTGAAAATCTTTTATCAACAATAAGTTAACAAACACCTGCAGAGAGAAACACTCCAAAAATTGTTTCTCCGACTATTCTCTCAGGGTCCATTTGGTATAAGGAATTGGTGGAATTGGAATTGAATAGGAATTGTAATTCCATGGGATTCAATTTCATAGAATTGAATTCTGTAAATTTCAATTCATTTTTTGCACTATCAATTCCAAATCTACATAATTTTTGTGCTACCAAATACTAGAATTGAAATTGAAGTACCCAATTCCAATTCCATAGTTTGAATTCCATGTACCAAACGGGACCTCATAAAAAATTAAAGATGACAATCTCTATTTATTTAACTCGGTCCCATTTGATATTAATGTCACACTTTTGCTTTAACATTTTGAAAAACAATCCATATTATTCAAATTTAATTTTAGCTTATGTTGACTAGCTAGTACCATTACTCCTTATTTTGTACTACATCCGTTCCTGGTATTTGTCCATTTTTTATTTTTTTCAGTAAACTGTTTTCAATCTTTGATCTATATATTATTTATTAGTTAGATAAAATAATATTTTGAAAATATTTGATATAATACATTTAATAAAACTATTTTTGTATCAATATCTAATATCATTTTTATTTAATTTGAGGTTAAAATTTACCAATTTTGACCAAAAAAATCAAAAGTGGACAAATACTTAAGGACGGATGGAGTATTTTGTAGTATCGATTAAATTTGAATGTGGTGAGGTTGCACAAACAAAATATTACTCCGCACATCCGTCTTACAAAAAGATTCAAAAAAAAGTTTCATAAATAGAGAATGATCTTTTTTTAACAGATGAAAAGACAAATGTTTGGTTCACAAACAATATGATCACAAACCTTACAATATTACTATTTGTGAACTTCAATAAAAAAGATAAGTAGTCTAAAAGTTTTTTTAAAAAAAAATTAAAGCATAAATAGTAAGTTTGTGAAGTCTATGATCAATTTGTTTCTGAACCTAAAATTTGTTTTTATTTTATTTATATCTTTTGGTACTGGTGGGGTTAATGGAAAGGAAGAAGAAAGGACAATAAAGAAAGTGAAGGATAGAGAGAATTGGAAGTGTCCTGTCTGTGGCTCTGTGCCATTCACTATTTGGTACACAAAAAAAGCCACTCATTGCAGCTCAAGCTATAGTTGTAAGGCTCGTGCGCGTTGCTCAGTTGACAAAACTTGTAGTGTCAAGAGATAGAGTCAAATTCAATTCTTGACAACTGCAGTGAGAGTCAAACTATGCTAAGCATAGGGTGAATACATTTATTGCAAGTACATATCTCAAGCTTACATTGTCCAAGGAAAGTTATAACTCAATTTATTTCTTACCAAGGGAACAATGGAGTCACGCTTGGAGATCCTAGGGATGAATTCTATACTATGTTTTTTTCCTCAAAACTCTACCATATCATTCTCCACCCATCAAAAAAATGAGCCTCATCTTCGAGGGCCCCCTCAGATTCAGCCGAACGGTGACTAAGATGAGATAAATTAAACTTTAACCGCAGATTGGTCAGTCAGCTCTCTCCACCCATCAAAACTAAAGTTTGGATGGAGGAAATATTAACACTTTTTCTGGCCACCCAAATTTAGTTTTGATGCCTTTTTATGGAAGCTGCAGCATAATTGGGTGTCAAAACTCAAAAGATAAGTTCATGGTACCACACAAAATCATGTTTTGATAGTATTCCTCAGATATAGAGTGGCATGTATTCTTAATTATAATAAAAACACTGTTGTATTGAAGCACCTACATACATTCAAGAATCAAGACATTCTAGATCCATACAAGACTCCTATAAGATTAACATAAAATTAAAGTAACATGTAAGTACTGGGTATAATTCAAAGAGGCAACTGTTATTTAAAGTTGCAGGCTCCTAATCCTATGACTTGATAACCATAAATGTTTAAGCCTTTAAGAGTGTTTTGGGGACAGGGACAAAGAAACTGAGATTATCATAATAATATGACAAAAGAATGAAGGGA